TTCCCAGTCGTTTCCTCAACAAATGATGGTTGGATGACGTACTCAACCAAGTACATTTCATCACGGTGTATTATATTTCCCTTTCCATTTTTGTGACAAAACTTTGACTTTGCTGGCCATTGCCTACTTGTTTCACGAAAACAACGCGGAGAGCGTAACTTTTGTGTCACAAACATGTTATATGATGATTATGGTCTTTACTAAAAGAAAGCATTAGGTTAATACTAAAGTTATTGCGCTTGTTAATCTTAAAATTTAAATGCAGGCGTGTTGGCTCAGAAGTTACATTTTTACTCGAAATAAAAGCCATTTAAATTAACACACTTGTGTAAACGGGATACAACTATTTATTCCGGATATGTAAATTTCCCCACTTCTGGTGGCGATCATATCGTGGAAGGTACTTTCAGCATCTCTTTGGTTTTTAATACTTCTTTCTAGTAGGAAGTTATCTAAATGCTTGCAAAATTATTAATCGGTAAGCTTGAGATCAGGGAAATATGGTGAGTGACGCAAAGTTTTGTAGCCCAGCTCATGCAGCTTCCGCCGAGTTGTTTGTGCAACGTGCGGCCGACCGTTATGGGGAATAATTGGCCCCTTCCTATTGACCATTGCCGAGCATCTGTGTTGAAGTTCTCGGTGCATTTCGACAATTGTTGACAATACTTCTCCGCTGTAACGGTTTTCCCTGGATTCAGAAAGTTTTGGTGGATCAGACCAGCCGCAGATCACCAAACAGTCACGATAACCTTGTTTGTGTGCAATTTCGGCTTTGGGAAGTGTTGTAGCGCTTGATGGTGGTCCAACCATTCTGAGGCTCGTCGTCAGTTTTCGCATAGGATCAATTTTTCATCCCAAATCACAATCCGGTCGATACACGGATCGTTTTTATGGTGCACAGGAAGGGCGAACGACAACTCAAAACAAGGATTTCTTTGATTTTTTCAATTTGTGTGGCACCCACTTATTGTGCTTTTTCGACATTCCAATCGCACGAAAATGTTTTAGAGTTGTCACATGCGATGCTACTAATTTAGCGGCAAGATCTCGAATAATTTTACGCAGATCTGCTTTAACTAAGGTTCCTACTTGTTTGTTGCCCACTTCCAATGGTCGTCCAAGACGATCTTTATCTTCAAGCCTCTCCTTACCCTTTCGAAATCTCTGAAACTATCATTGTGCGTTACGGTTATTAGTGGTTCCAGCACCAACTACACTGTTGATATCATGGGCTGTTTCCGCTACATTTCGACCGTTTAAATTGATACCAGAAACTTGTGCGAATTGGTCTTCTGTACATGTTGCATTACATGTTCTGTACGGATGTAAAAATGTGTTTCTGAGCTAAACTGTCACCATAGTTAGATAGAGCGCAAAACTGGTTTCAAAATGATATACAAGGTAAAAGCAACTTATTAAAAGTTATTTAAAAGCACAAGTGTTAAAATAAAAATATCAAATTAAACGCTATAACTTTAGTACTAATCTTAAATTTCGCGAATACTTCATGTGTTTCCCACTGCACATCAATGGACCAAGGCAACTTGCATAACTGGGCATGTGTTTAGCGAAATGATCTATACATGAGCAAGTGCTTTTACCCTTGGTCCAACTGCCTGAGATAGTTTGTCCGCGCACTGTTCACATGGAGTGGTGGACAGCCAGCCATACGTGTGCTACAGTAGGATTATGTCGTCCTTGTGTATGTTTGATAGTCTTACGAAAAACCATCTTCGTACGACTTCTAAATTGATTCGTTTTGGAAAACAAATTCGTTGCCTGGAAATTCCCTTACAGTGAAACAGACTCACTTTTGATTTTTACGGAGAAGGTACTTAAGAATAAAACGGCTTTGGCTCGCACTTGTGATTGCGGGAATACGCATTCCTCGTGCACCTTCTACCAACTTTCCATTTGCTTCACAACGCTCCATTTCCAGGCATTGAGGTTGGTTTGTTGGTAAAAGTGATCGACGTTGGTTAAATTCCGTTGTTTCTCACTCGGTCGGAATCAGGCCTCATCGGGGACTGCTAGGTTTCTGCTCATTTGTTCACCTGTGGCTCACTCTCAAGTGTGACCTACCTCCATGGAGGGAGTATGTGGAACTTTCCACTGGAGGCTGAATGGTGCTGATTTTTCTCCCCTTGAAATTGCGTACCTCACTTAGTGCCCCTTCTCTCATGTCGAGTGAAGTCCCCTCGAGTGATCTGTTAGCTGTATTATCATTAATATACCATGTCCCCACGTTTGTTCAGTTTTAGTGCACAGAGCATATTGATTGCTTGGTCAACTAAGGGCAGGTATATACAAAAGTAGTGCAAACACGTAGCTGACATTTGCCAAAGCCCATAACACCACTTCGATGCGAACAAAGGTATCCCGTACACGCTAGCAAACGGATAGGTCCTCCGCGCACGGTTCTCCACCGTCAACTTAATACACGTTGGCAACTTATAGCAATCTACAAGGAATGCAGAAACTAAGCCCCGTTCCGAGGATCTTGTTTCTACTATCACCATGACGAGTTTGAATTGGGCGAATCCAATGTGGTCAGCGAATTCAGGAGAATCTCTCCTACTTTATACCGACAGTCTGCCGTTTGTTAGGCATTATCCATTCCAGTCCAGATCCACCCGTCTAACCAACGGATAACCGACTGATTGCCAACCGAACAACTCCGAGTGCCACAACAAAACCGAACGCTGTGCACATGTCTAGTTGCTTACCGAACAAAAATCTATAGCCCACAGCTTTTGCCCTATCACCTTATTCGGTTGTAACTGCTTGACTTCACTCAACCAAATTTCCTAGACCAATCAACACTTGGTAGCTATTTGAAAGTACCCTACTTAACTGACGCTTACAGATTGGCTTCTGTGCGACGGTTGTTGACCGTTCCAGTCCATTTTCCATGCGACAGTCTTTAGCGCATTCTTGTTTGTTAGCTGTGGAATAACAGCCGTGGCGACTATGAGAATGCAAGATGAGTCAGTGGGGCAGAAGACTAGTGGCGCCGCTCTATGATTGGTAAATTTGAAAGGAGTCATTAGAATGGAGGTTGGATCAAACACTGTCTACTATTTACGCGAAGCTTTCCCCTCGGCAAATGTCAAGGATTTTTTCGCAGCTTCTTTACTTGCCTGTCTATGCGATTCGGACCACGCGAAGAAGGCAGTCTTTCGGGGAGCTAGGCATCCTTTGAGCAAGTACAAGCTAGCCAACGAGCACTCAAGAGAGTGATAACTGTCTCCTCTTACGCTACCGTGCGGTAGTCACTAATTATAAGTGGTTACTCTTCACGATAGAAATGTGCTATTGTTCCGGAACAAATTAGAAGTAGACTAATAGGTCTTACCGACGGCGAAGTGTCGTGGACGAAAGTTAAAATCGGTATTTCAACCAGTTGCTTTTTCCGGTCACCCGTGTTCTTCAGTCTCTACCACTGCATCAGCTAGAATACATATCCCTTCTAATCTTGTTCTCCATAAGTTTCTACATTGCTCTGCACACGTGCGTTTACCTCTTTTCCCCAAACTACCTTCACATGAGCTGTCCCTAAATCGATTTTGTCTCGACGTTCTACCAATCTTAGCCGTACGCTGAACTCCCGTCTATCCATGTATTGCGCGTAATTCCTCACCGCAATCTCTTCGGCAGCTTGCTTTCTTATCAATATAATTATATACATGCATATTTATCGAAAATACATGCTACAGTCCGGTGAATCTGGTACAGTCCTTTTGTACAGATAACATCCAAACGTGTTCGCTCATACGGTTTATTTTTTTACATCTAGTAAGTGCATCAGGCGTTGACCGTGATCACTCTAACCGCACTTCGAAACGAGACACATTCTGGAACGCTGTCAAGAAGAAGAAACGGTAACTCCTTGGCGTAGCTTTGGAGTAGCCAAAGTGTTTTCGTGCACTTCTGTCTAGCATGCGAACAACGACTGTACCTAGTGTCGGAAAGTGACCTACAACGAAAATCTATCTGCAGGTGTCTGAGCGTTTTTCTTCGACATCACATGCAAGCAATTGGTGGGCTAGCGAAACCCCACATAGAGGATTCACTACGCGTGGGTAGTAGAATGATAAAAAGAATTAAACTCATCAACTTGACGGTCGGACAGTGTTTGAATCCCATATACGGTCAATATTCGGGTCAAGAGAAACTTGAGTATGAGTTGAAGTTGCGTTAAACGGGACATGGGAGTCCATTTCACCAATGTACTAGTGATTCCACTGGACCGACAAACCGTTCCTTATTTCAAAGTATCGGTCTGCATCTTTTCTGCCGCAGAGTTTTTTATTATTTCTTATTATTATTACTATTCTTGTTATTCTTTTTTATACACAGCCGTTTAGAAAACCGCGTTTGTTATAATTTTGTGCTTTTGTGCAGTGTACTGTAAAACAGCGATAACATCAATCTGAACATACCCACAGCACTCAGAGTATGATGGCGAAGAGGAGACACTTATGAGGCGCTTAGTGAATGCTCACTGCACTTGTTCTGTGGCAATGCATTATCCCTGCTGTCTATCATCGAGAAGTGTTCTAGCAGAGAGTGATTACATGACTAACACATTGAGCATATAGATGAACTCGGAGATAGGCTTTGAAATACCAATGTGATGCGTTGTCTTGCCTTAAAGGTTGCGTTACATGCTTATTCGGAAAAGTTAGGGGGACATGAGTAGCGAAGCCTCAGCGTACGTTATTCGCAACAGAGAGTAAGTGGGCTGCCAGTTGGGGTCAGGTCATTGTGGTTAATATTGCACTTGTACAGTATGACGCTGTATTTGACAGTCGTGAACGACCTTTTTCATGAGACACACCAACATTTATGCGCAAGGAAGTCAAGCCGAATGTTTCCAAGAGAATCGTTAAAGACTGTTTTTTGCACAAGAAGTGGACAATGTTGATGTTTTATTCATACGATATATTGTACCAAATTCCTTTCCGTCTTTATTCTCTACCACTTATTGTTGTGTTCAGGCCCATGCGACTGACGAGGATTTGGCCAACGAGCTTTCGCTTGACATCTCACAACTATCCTCCCAGAACACCGTACTTCTGCGAAATCTATGCAAATCGTGTGTTTTGCATTCCAAAGTTGCGTCCCACCTAAGACGGAAAGCTCACCAGATCCGTGTGAGTCCATTTTCATCCCATCTTATCGAAGCTAATCCACCATCTCGCCGCACACACATGTTTCCAATCCGCACTCGCTCACTATATGCGGGGCGATGATCTCCCTACTTCTACTCGACAACACCACATAACACTCGTTGAACAGCTTCGGACATTGCTCCTCTGACATGAACTCGTACGAGCGGACCCCTAGCCTTTGTGAGGCTGGGGCTGGGACGGCTACTGAACTCCCACGATTCACAATTAGTGTTCGGTCCGCTAGGTTACTGACTGCTGACTGTTGACTGTGTGTAACTCAAGCTTGCTATTGCCAGCTTTTCACAAGTCTCAAATCCCATCCAGTTCTATAGCACTTGATCATTCGCTCGTTTGCTCGAACGTGTCATCTGCTCTGATTAGTGCCTTGAATGCCACTTTTTTTACGCCGTTCCACTTGGATCTACTCTGCCTATATCAGCTCAAGCGAACTCGGAGTAAGTTTGTGGTCGAATCCACCGAATAAACTAATGCACTTTCTCCCTGACTCGATCGGTGGATACATGATGTCTTCTGTTACACTCGCGTTTGGGCCACTAATCTTACCGATAGGGAACGCAATTTCAAATCAACTCAAGCCAATGTGCTTTATGCTCTCATGCAGAATGTATATTCATTTGCAGCACACCCGCCACGGATATTGACAAATAACGAAAGTAAAATGTCACATGCGGGTTCTATATAAAACAGCAGTCCATAAGACGGTTACTATCTTTGAAGTGATTTACCAAGCTGTTATTGATTGACCAAATTTTGATCGTTCATAAAACGTGACGAATAGGGAGCAACCATAGATTCTTGTGAGAGGATATTTTGGTTTTGTACGTCTATCTGATCCAGGAGATTGATACACCTTCGGACACTGTCCTGTGGAAGGGATGGCTAACACCTGTTTGAGTATTTTGGTTGCAATTTTTTGCACGGATTATGATGGTTAGATGCAATGATGGTAAAAAGTTCTGCTCTTAACTTACCGCTACATTGTGTCAGTTATTTCACTGACCTGGAGGTTGAAGTCCTTTCTTAAGAGGCCAGGGAAGATCACGGGAGGGCAAATGGGGCAATTCACACGCGATGCTAAATCGTAGGGTCAGAGATGGAGTACGGAAGAAAACTTGATACGAGTGGCATGGAACGAATGTCTCCTAACTGATATGAATTTCGTTTTCCAATTTACTATTTTATCTGGTCCTCCGCGTCTCCTTTTTCGAAACATCACAGAAGCCTACAGTTAACCCCTTCACCTTCGCAGACAAACTACTGTGGTATCTCATAACCAATCATTTATTCACATACGTTGTCGAAGCCTACATTCTATGATGGGGTCACCGTCTTGTTGCTACTTCGAATCGAATTATGGAAGATCTAAGTGTGTGTCATGTCAGCCTGAGCGGTAAACCTCGCACAACTGATCTATTTGTGCATCGGCTGAGACGATGTTCTGCGAACGCACCTTTTTAGCTGTCACTCTTAACCGGTAATCTGTCCTTAAGGTGCTGAGCGATAGATGGAGTGGCCTTTGCAAGAACGTGCAGATTGGCGGCCGTGTAGGTTTTGGTCATTACGACGGAAAGCATTCTACTCAGCAGGTTGAAACCGATGTCACCCTTAAAGGGAATCTTAAGAAACACATCATTTTTCGGAACTGTGATGACACGCTCACTTTTTTTACGGATTGTAGTATGCTTTTTGATAAATGAGGCAGGGTAACCGTTTATAAGCAGCGTTTCAAATAAGCGTTCTTCTCTTCTAGGGTCTCAGGGCTGCAAATTTTAGAGGCTCAGTGACACAAGCAGCGAACAAAGTTACGAATTACTTCTGGTCATCTCGATTATTCAGCTTGAGGTGTGCTCCGAAATTCATTCGCACTATTCCACCTTTTTTTCTTCGACATCATTGCACGCCTCTCGAGGAAGAGCACGGCACAAGTTATCTTGCTCGACTATGTCTTACTGAGCGAGCATTCTTTCAGAGTTATTGTCGGCCAAGTGATAGGAAACCGCATTAGTGGGTATGAAACGAACTGCACGTCCCTGGAAGTTAACGGTATATATATATATATATATATATATATATATATATATATATATGGTTTTCAGTTGTTTACTTGGCTGTTATTTGTGTTTCTGAATTATCCAGTAATATATTTTACGCCATTTTCGACCGTAATTCTATCCTTTTGCCTTGATTCTCGTCCTTCCTTAGTCGTATTTTCGCGTGTCCCCTCGTCAGGTCAGTTTACCTCGATCTTTTCATTGTTTACTTCGTTGTATGCTATAAATATTTGTGTAATTCACTTGCATTAGTTATTGTGAGTTTCTTTATCATAACTACCTGTACTAGTTCGTTAAAATTTTTGTGATTCTACATTACGCTGATTTAGTCGTATCGATCGGTGCATATTTTTGAAATGGCAAAGCAGACATCTTGTGGTATTTGCTCCAAAGTCGTTGGACATCGCGCAAATGCGATTACATGCAGTTGATGCAGTGTAAATTTTCATATTTCGTGTATTGGTCTGTCTGTGGACCAATTTCGAGTAATTCAAGGCATTCAGCACTTCTTGAAGACCATTTGTAAGCGATGTCAGTCTAAACTTGGGCAAAATGCAGCCGAAAAGCCTGACTAGCGGATAAGTAGAGCGAGGTGCGCTAAAACGCGCAGCTCGATATGTCCTGCACCACAATCAGAGAAACAGCTAGCGCTAACTAAAACAACGGATATATCCCTGGAGCAAAGTGTTACCGCTCCGACAGGCTCGGCTTCAAGGCTTACGATTTCTTCAGTTGACACTAAAGCTCTAATTCGCAATAAACAAATTGGTGATAACGAATGGAATATGCAAATGCCAAAGAAACCGAGAACAATGTCCAGCGACCTGAGACACCGCAGCCTCATGGTCTTTCACGCACCTGAATCCTGTGATTCCAATCCTCAGGTGCGCTATGAACATGACGTCCTTTTTTCCAACTCTGATTGATGGACTACTCGACGTGGATGAGGGCGAGCTGAAAGTGAAACAGATCGCTCGTCTCGGAAAGAGATCCCATGGCAAAAGTCACCCTATGAGGGTGACTTTTGTCGAAGAGTCAATCTTAAGTTACTATAGTCCCGCCTTAATGAACGGAAAGGTCTAAACATCCACCTGCGCGCTGACTTAGACCCAGCAGTCTGAGAGAAACTCATATCTGCGATAACTGAACTAATGCGACACACGGACGATGCAGAAACAAATCTCCGTACTGTAAATTTTCGGGTAATCACCCGGATTCCTCCGCGAATACGGCTCAACAGGTTTCTGATGCTTCAGGCCCGCTTGGCGGTTCCTACCGCGACCTGCTCGTAGCCTTTACTAACGTCTGCAGTCTGATGAACAAACGCGATGAGCTGTACTACTTTGTAACTTCCCAGCGGCCAGAAGTAATACGCCTTGTTGAGACATGGGTGAACTCCGACATAACCGCCCAAGAAGTGGAAATCAGCGGCTACTCGTGCTTCCGTTGTGATAGACCATCTAATGATCGGGGTGGCGTACTTCTTTACATAAAGTTTTTCTTGTGTGGGAGACTAGTGAACGCCTACCGAAGTGCTGATGGTCTATATGAGCAGTTATGGTGTTCGATTCACCTCAGACGCTGCGACATGCTTTTACGCGTGGTACATCGCAGTCCACTGAGCTGCTGATTGGGCTGGTTGCCGCATGTCCGCAACCACATGTCAGCCGTTCCTACTCATGGGTGATTTCAACTTACCCCTAATACAGTGGCCCGTGACTGAACTTCTTCTTGTGATGTCGATAGGAAGTTTAGGGAGTTGATATTTGAAACCGGGGCCACACAGCACATCAACCAACCGACGCGCATAACTGGGCGCACGACTCCATCGTGCTCAGACCTGGTTTTGACCAGCTGTGAGCAACATGTACATGAAATTCAAGTCTTGGAGCCCCTTGGAGCGAGTGACCACTCGATGATCAAAGCCAGCTTGGAACTGTCGCTACCGTATTCTCCCCCGCTTGAGCCATCCTTCATCTATCGGAAGGCAGACTTTAATGGCCTCACACGAGCAGCGAGCCACATAGACTAATTTTTACCAGAGGATTCGTGTAATGAAACCTTGTTGGACTATCACTAAAGAGGGAGTGAAATCGTTGTGCGCCTGATTTTTACCCCATAAGTATCGGAAAGTTGGGCCAATCAAACCACATTGGTTGGACAAGGGGTCCATCGCAATGAGGTTGGACCTTACCGTGGTGCGATGGTTTAAGTGCCTCAGCGATCCATTGAGCTATGCTGGGTGGTACTTTTGAACCTTCAGAGTCACTCATACCAGATTGGTCAATGGCTAGAAGCCAGACATGTTCACCAGACCTTACTCATCATCATCATCATACACGTTAGCTGGAGGTGGGGAACACCTCAGCTACTGTGCCGCAATACACAGAAAAAAAGAAAAAATATGCACTTGGTGCAAGCCGGCTGAGCTACCGGTAACGGATGGGCATCGTTCCGGTAAGCTACCAGCCGGCTACTGTGCATCACAAAAATTACTATGCAAAATTATATAAAATCAAATGATGAGATCGTGATTGGAGGGGGAGGCTAAGAGGGATGGGGTGGGACAAAGAAACTCACAGCACGAACTCCACTGAGGTCGGCTCCTAGCCATATCAGCAAGTGTGTCCAACCAAACGTGTTCATCGTCTTTCGGACCCCAATCGAGAGCTCCAAATCGAAGCCGATGAACTGCGCTTGACCGCTTGCTTGGACAAGGGCCTGTTAACAGTGCAGGAATGACGCTCCGCGTTCACATGTGAGTTGAAACTAAAAGACAAGTGACTATTGAAGCAAGGTGGGGGAGGGCCGAGAATTGGGGGGTTGAAAACAGGGGGGATATAAGTGAAGCTGGAACGGACGATAAGGGTGAAAAAGCGTAAGAGGGGAAATAAGAAGACGGGAAGGCTT